GTAATCATGCACATAAACATAAAAAGTTTACTAATGGACTTTCTGAATATTTATCATAATAAATGTCTCATATGTTACCATATGACGAAGAAGATTATTGGTTTAAAAAAACTTACATTTATTCAATCAAACATAAATACAGGTATCACTAATGTTGTAAACTCTGTTACTTGCTATTTTTCACCAGTTAAACCTAAAAAAGCAACTCCTAATGAACATAAAGTTTATCGTATAGTTACATTTATTGAAATAAATATTTAACTAGCTGAACTAGATTCTATAACAAGAGACAAATACTTCATTACAAAAGTTACTATCAAACACTTGTAAAAAACTTAATACTTTATTATTAGCTATTCTTGCTGGAAGGCTATATTGATAGTAAAATATATAATTATCATGTCTTTGAAAATATAATTCATTTCTTTACATTTATTCTCTTATTTATCATGTTATCACCAGCAGCCTCAACATTGCAATTAATGATGATTTGCAACATTTACTGAAAAAATGTCCTAAATATGGAGAATGTTCAAAAATTCATTGGAAATTAAAACTGAAGAAATAATTGTTGAATTACTTAATAAAGTCTTACACAAATCATACTAAAAAAACAGAACTTAAAAATAACTTTATTTAAGGAAAGGCTGAATAAAGATATAATAAATAAATCCATAAAATATTTCAGAAAAATTCAATAATAGCAACATTGAACATGTTTTGATTAAGAAAAAAAAAAGTTGATAAATATTTAAATTCCTTACATAATATATATACATCATTATTCCCAATGACAAAGCAGCAAACAACTCTGTTTCATTTTGAAAGAAATTTACATTACCATTTTATGCAGAGAATATTGTAATATTCTCAAAGAAATAACTGGTATTAATTAATTCATTATAATTGATAGCTCCATGAAGTGTAAAGAAAAAAATGAAAGACTTATTGTTTCTTGTGAATTTTGCATAAAGCTACACCAGGGCTATCTGTGCTAGCCATCCCTAAGTTACCAGTGAAAGACTAGAGGGAAGGCAGCTAGTCATCACCATCCACCACCAACTCTTGGGCTACTCTTTTACTGACAAATAGTGGGATTGACCATCACATTATAATGCTCACACTGCTGAAAGGGCAAGCATGTTTGGTGGGATGGGGATTCGAACCCATGACCCTCAGCTTGCAAGTCAAGTGCCCTAACCACCTGGCCATGCCTGGTCAAAACGAAAGACTTTCAAGCTAAAACAGTAGAAGCAATTGATCTTAGTAATCTTTACATAAATCTTCTAATGATAAAATTAGTTTTTCATCTACAGTTTCATGAAAATAATAAAAAGACGTTCTTTCTGGAGTGAGTATCTACTTAATGTGTGTCTATATATGCATATGTACTTTAATTTTTAGATGATGAACTGAAATATAAAGGTGCAATAAATGATCAACAATTACCTATTAGTTTTTCTTCTTCTTCTTGCTCTCCAACTTCTTCACTTAATGATTTCTTAGTATCTGCAAATAAACTTTCCTAGAATGAAGCAAGAACTGTTTTAGTACCCGCATGTATTCTTAAAGAAAATATATCTAATCATAAAGTAATGTACATTTATGCAAAAATAGGTATTAAATTTGTATTTTATAAACATTTTAACAGAAAGAAAATAAACTTTCAGCTTATAGGAGAAACAAATGTAGAATAAATGTTATGAGAAGTTAGGTTTCATAATCATCTCATAATATCTGTTAACACCAGCAAAATAAGACAAAATCTATAATTACCTCAGCTACTTTCTTAAAAACAATTTCTCTCAACAGTTGAAAACATCCTTCTACATCCTGATATAAATATATTAAACAAACTAGGTAGGTTTTTTTCCTTTCCAGTTCAAATAAATGAACATTTGATATTCACCTATAACTTTTTACACTTGCATTCCAGCACAAGTGTAACTTTAAAATATATTAAGCTGAATTCTGGAATGCAGCTAACTTACTAGTGTCCTATCTATACATTACTATATGTTGTTCCCTTCTGGTGCCACTGAATTTTTATTACACAAGAAGTAACTACAGAATTACTAGCTTATTAGCATTTAGTTTTTCTAATGTGATCAACTGTGTAGAGAGAGAGCAACACCTGAGGATTATGTCCACTCTACTTGTATTTACAGAATGTCCAGTGACATATGCAACACATTCATTCAGGATGAAATAATACTAGTGTTCTCTTTACAGTGGTCAGCTTTCTCTCAGTCTTATTTATATTTTCTCTCAGCTTTTGGCCAGGTCTCCCCCTGACATTGAGAGCTCTAAACAGCTATTGATACTAGTGCTGTCTGTCATTACCATGCCCTCGTCTGTTTGATTTGTTGTGATTTTACATTGAGATTACTTTTCACTTTTTTACATTGTGCTCAGTCTCTTTTTTTTTTCAACTCATTAAACATCAAAAATTTAGTTTAACCCACATAACATTATATGCTGTTGCTTTTGTTACTGTTTTTGCCTGTAAGATAATTAGTGCACCCAAGAACACTACACTAGAACATGGTTAATCATTTTATCATTAAGACTAAAAGATTAAGCATACCCTCCAGAAACCCAAAAAAGTATGATTTAAGTAATCACGTAGCTCTTGGATGTTGTATTTACTTTAATGTACAAATCATGATAAGATATATTTATAGTTGCCCAATGGAATGACCTTTATAAGGCACAAAAGGTTTCTATGGATGTTATTTTAATACTTAAAAGGACAAATCTGATGGCAAGGTCTCACTAGGATACTGTAAACAATATTTAGATCTTGTGGTTTGTGATCTTTCATCTTTTTACCATTCTTGAAACAGTTGTTTTGGTACATTAGTGCACTTCAAACCTTTAAGTGAAAAGGTAAGGATAAACCTTACACGCCACTAAACTTCTCACTGAATAAAAATCCCTTATCTTAGAGGAATGCACAAATAAAGTTATGTTTCACATTATGTAGGCCATTCCTGTTTATAGGTGCTTCAACATACATAAGCAACTTTACAAGCCAATACATCAGTACAGAAGTTTTTGTTTTCACTGCTGACTGGATTCAGGTTATGGATACTTAAATACCCTGCGGTGTTTCAGGAGCAGCTTTCCCACTTCCAGTAATATTTGTTTTCTGCTCTTTACATTCTTGTTAGGTATGTGAGCAACTTTAGTGTTGATAAATATGCAATTCTTTATGCAAGAGTTCTGGGTAAAAAAAAGTATAGCATATGGTCAGGGTAAAGACAGTATATGGACTTTCTCAAATTGAAAAAAGGACTCTTGACCTGAGCAAGTTTGGGAACCACTCCTTTGAAAAGGTGGATTTTTCTACTGAAATCTCATATTTTTCTTATGCTTTGAATATTTTTTTTGATATGTCTGACCCTTGCCCGCTTGTCTCTACAACTGTGGACCAATTTAGTTTTGAGGATTGCTTTTTCTTCCCCTTATTTTTCTTTGGACATTTCAGGAAAAATATTTCTATTTTGTAATTTTATCATGCAGGTATTGCTTTGGTACAAAAGACTATGGAAATTTCACAGATCTTTTCTATTTACTACAACAATCATTTCAAAATTGGCAAACTACTATATAGAAATTAAACAGTTTTCATTCCTTTCAGCGATATATTGGGTTTTGGAATAAACTGAGTAAATAGTCTTGCTAAATGTTTTACACCATTTAAGCTTTACAATCAGCATAATTTGGTTAATTGATAATATTGGGTGATTTAGCAAGAATTTATTTCCAGCATAAAATAAATTTTCAATCTCTGGCTTTCTGCTAAATTTAGAAAAAAAATGATATTTTTACTTTGTATTAATGAATATTTTGTCACATGGATTATTGTTATTCTGGGTATAACTTAAATTATTTTCCATATGAAAGTTCAACATTGCTGACAATAAGAGGGTCTTTTGTAAAAACATATGTTAAAAATAACATTTGAAACACAAGCTGCCAAAATATTGTTTAATTTCTGTTTTCCAAGAAACCAGGGAAAAAATAATATTCACAAATCCAAATACTGTATAATAATAATAATAGTGACATTCACATGTGTGTGTGTGTGTGTGTGTCACAAAACTTTGATGTACAGCAAATTATATTTTAACCCCTCTTTCAAAGAACACGTAATCGTTTTTCTATTTTGTCTTGATATTTGTCACTTGAAGATCTTATAAAACATACCAATCAGAAATGTTCCTAACTTTTTACTTGTGTATCCCATAAAAGTGTTTTTAAGTAGCATCACCTGCTGATATGACTAATCCTGTCATTTCAACATTATCATTGAAACCCTTTCATTGTCACTTGACATATAGTAATGCCCAAGCTTATATGTCATTCCTCTAGCTGCTAGCAGATGTCAGTGGTGGAAATTATATTTAGAGTAGAATGTTTTTCTTACAAACAGTAAATGTGTGTTTATTATTATATATTGAGGAATTATAAAGACAATCATATTATAAAACATCTTGCATACTTGCAAGTTTCCAAAGCCATAATATCTAGCTTTCCAGAAAGTAAAACATTATTTCTAAACTTCATTACTAGCACTTACATCCCACTAATTTATAAAGAAGTAAGAATGCCTTCCTCTAGTTTGCATAAATTTAGTATTCTTATTTTTATGAAGCAACTGATTTTTCTTCAAAGTAAGACGAACTACTAAAGTCTAGTTAACTATTAATTTCTACATTTTTACTTATAAATATTTCCAGCTACAACACATGTATATAAAGGAATGCCAGTCATATACTCATAAATTTTCTATGGGGTTCAGGGTTGTTTATTTTTAGAACAAAGCCACATTGGACTATCTTCTGCATCCACCTCAGGGAATCAAACCTTACATTTTAGCAATGAAAGTTCTATAAATTAGGGGGTATGGGGTTCAGGATAGAAAATGGTGAAATTATCTGTGACTAAGCAATAAAGAACTAAATTCATGAGCACTGTTTACAGAAGAAAAATCTGCTTCAGTCCTGCAGCTGACCATGCACCTTGTGTGGCCTTTTATTATAGTCATCAGAATTTTGAAGCAATGTTATTGGGTTCATGTATTCCTCACAGTGAGTTAATGTTTTTACCAATCATAAATAGTTTAATTTCATGAAATGTAGAGGTGAATGATGTGCTCATTTGCAGTATTGTTTAATATGAAATCATCTTGTGATTGTTCGATTATGGTGTGGGAAGGTAAAAGCATGAATGGATCCATGGATTTATTGTACTTTGGAGGGATAAATTTAGCACTTGACATTACATTGATTCAATACTGAATCCAGCTTAATATCTTTATTCTGATTCAGAATAATACCTGGTGTCATACTGTTAGAACTATGATGGATTACTCCAACAAGAAAACATAAAGATTAAAGATTGGACAATAAGAAGTACTGATTTAAATCCATTAAAGCATCACTGGGAGCCTTACTTTAATGATGTATGACAGAGTAGGAGACATTTTCATTAACATGTTTTTTCTTCCTACATTAAATTTTTCATACACATTCATTCAGTTAGGCTCCAAATCTTACACTCTGAGTTTGAAGGTACTCATGTTTTAAGGGTTATAATTAACAGTATATTGTTAATGAAATGGTTTCATTACCTGTAATAAGAGAATAAATGATACAACTAAAATATATTCTAATTTTAGTTCTTTTGTTAATTTGGTTGAAGACCAGTTTAACTATAAAATATTTCCTCTTCAATATAAGTATATATAAGTTTGTAAGGTTTTCTTTTCAACTTGGTTTTTAAACATATATTTGTGCTTAATCCTTTTCAGTCTGATATCTTGTTTTCTAAGGGCACATAGATAATATTAAGATTTCAAAAATTCTGTCTGATTGTCTCCTTAAAAGATTGGACAATAAATAAAACTATAACTGAAATGTTGAGACTTAGAGCTTTATTTTAAAACAAATGTTTTAATGTCTATTCTGGATATGTAACATTAATTTAGATCCACCACCCACCCCCTACTATAATTGTTTTTAGGAGAGTAAAACATTTCAGTTTCCACCTGCATAGGCAGGGTTTCTATATGGTCATACATAAAGTCATAAAAGTTGACATTTTACTAGTTCATAAAAATATGACAATAATATCCACAGTTCATAATTCATCAAGGCATCTTTGTATTCATGGCCAATTCCCCATCCAAAATTAGAACTGAAATTTTACAAAGAAACTGCTTGACAAATAATAGCTAAAATTTACACTCTCAAGATATTCCTTATTATCTGCTGAATCATATATCAGGTAACATGTTTCTGCTCTAACTTCAACAGGTATTTTAGTTGAAGTGAAAACAAAATTACAAGTGTGGTTTACTCAGTATTTGCTGCATTTTATTGGGCTTTTTGGTCATGTGAAAAAGCAACACATATATAAAGCCCTTTGCAAATCATGCGTAATTTAAGTTGTACAACTTTACCAACAAAACCATACAAAGTAATATATTTTAATCTTCCTAGATCTGTAAACACCCTGGTAGACAAAACTTGTCAATATACAAAATATAGCTGCAAAGCTGTGTTCTTTGTAGATGTATGTTGTTTACTCAGGCTTAAAGAGTTTGAAAACTATGATTTCTTTAAGTTAGTGGTGTCAAAAAAACTATCAAATTCAACTGAACTTTCTATTTTACAAGTTCCAAACTTCTAAAGCTAACAAAATTATAAATATGTTATCTGAAAACTGGGATTATTTTCTTTGTTACTAACTAATTATCAAAGAAATCTCATTTTCTTCTCTAACTTTATAAGATTTTAATTGTGTCAGGAGTATATCTTTGGTCACATGCTTCAAAGTAATCCGTTAATATCAAATAACAAGTTACTTTTATTGGATTTCCCACTTGCCTCTTAGTTTTGTTGAAGTAATTACTTTAGCAGTTGCTTTCATGCTTTTAATTACAAAAAACTCCTGCTGGTAAGTTAAAACTAGTAGGGTTCACTCCAGCTGGAGTTTTAACATTAGTGTGGAACAGTTGTACACAGAGTAGAGGTAACTTTGATAAATAAGATATAACAAGATAAATAATATATATTTGTCTTAATTTTACCATCGCAAATTTTATTTCACGATTTCTTTAGGCTTAACATCATTACATATGTAACTGAATTTGTAGCTATTCAAAAATGTTTTTGTCTGTTAGAATAAAACAAACAAAAACAAATAACAAGACTATGCAAATATACGAAACGTAGCTTAAATGTTGAATACAAACTTCTATTTATGAGATAGTTATTTATTTTGTGAAATGAGTATGACAATATAAGAACAATGTTGAAATACTGATAAATCTTGAGTCACATAATCTATGTTGTGTGCTTGAAACCTGACTTTCAGAACAACAGTTACAGGCTTAATGCACAATGGCATAGCATATAGTTATGTCACACAGTGGGTTTTATATCATTATGAATCATAAACTCAGTAAGAAAGCAAAACTAGTTTCAAAATCATTAATTGGTTATAATTTTTTTGTTTGAAGCATCTGATTTTAGATATTATATTACTAAATTCAATGAGAGAAGATGCTAAAATACTACAATATATAAGTAATAGTAAATAGAACAACAAACAACAAAAAACCTATATGACCACTTTGTCACAGATCCTTAATTGGGTACCCTTCACTATTAGTTATGTTTTAGGTCCTTAACCTATGAACAGTTGATGAAATTGGGCCTACTTATTAGCAAAATTGCCAAGCACCAAAGCAGAATTGTCACAAATAATGCTTCATGAACAATATTTGTTACATTTAGCTAATATAATTACTACTGCAATGTTATACATTAATGCAGCTAATACTATAAACAACTAGAGTACATAATGAAATATGTAGACAAACGTGTGTCAGAAACAACATACCAACTTATGTCTTATTATGCTTCCAGGATGGAAAAGGTTAAAAAAAAAGATACATTCATGTAAATCAAACTGTCTAGATACATTTTTTATCCATAAGGTATCATATCAAATCACTATAATAAAAAAAGAAACAGCTTACTTCATCTTTATCATTATCAAACAGCTGACCAGTTCCAGCAAATAAACCAGCTTTAGTTTCAAAAGCAGAAAATCCTAAATCATCCTCCTCTTCTTTACCAAATAATTCTTCTTCATCTGAAATTGCAAAAATTAAGATGTCAAAATTAGATACACAGAAATTTTATGCATGATCAGTTAAAAGTTAACAAAGAACAAGTCAATACTCCTTGATTATTAGAATGCATTAAAAATAAGTCATTATAAAGTTAATTATCACAACATCTATGTGTATATGAAAAAAGTTTAAAAATTCAATATCATAGAGGTTTTCACTACCAATCAGGATAATCCTGATGAACTGGTATCTCATCTCATCGAACTAAATTGGTGAGTACTTCAATTATAAACTTCATTCACATTCAATTTTTTAATTGTATTTCAATCACAGTAATTAATGAATAATTTATAATATTATATATTTTGAAATTAAAATACATTTCAAACATATCATTTTCTCTGAAATATTAAAAGTCTTTCCTTCTTAAGTTTGAACTCATGCTGTCAATAAAACACGAGTCAAAATTTCAGAATGTCCTTTACTTACATACCATATACATTACGTACCCATGATACTCCATTCTCCCACCTCCAATGCAATATTGATCACAATACTGATGCATCTTATATAATCTCTACTTTCCCGCCAAAATATATATTTGTTTGAAAGTTGCAGTTGTGATGAAAGTTTAGTCATATGGAGATGGGAGAGAAGGTATTTCAGAAATTAGTACTTGTTTGAAATTCATTTTAGTTCTAAAAATGTAAAATTTAAATCAGGCAAAATTATCTTTTATGTACTGAAGGGCAGAATATACATATTGTAGAAAATGTGGAAACCAATGAACCACAACTGCAAGACAGGAAGATAAGCTATACAGACTGTATAAAAAAACTGGTATCCAAGGGGAGTTTGAGGATAGTCCAGAACAAGAAATTAATTATTAGAACTACTATCCAAGAAGAATAAGTGGAGTGAACCAGCCTTATAGAAAAAAGACTGGACCACAAGGGTACTCAGACAAAAGTCATTCTTCTTAGCAGGGTATCTCTTTGCCCATGACACCCTTGTTGATAGTGACACAGGATTATTTTTTGTGATCAATAACAGTATATTGCATTGGTAGAGCCAACAAATACAGGTGGTGACATACACAGATAGTAAGAATACAATATTCTGCTCCTGCAGTAGAAGGATTTCATAAAAAAAAGCACAGTGTTTATACTTGTAATTTCAAGCAATCATTAGTTCTTGACAATTAGTATTATATTTATTATTGAACTGTTTCGACCTGTAGTGATTACATATATACTAAATTCACTGACAAACATTTTTCAATAAAGTTGTATACATACTTTTACTATTTCTATCCTCTTCCCCCTTTTGTTCAATTTTGTTATTTGTATATTGCTTGGTAGCTGTTCCACTTCTTACAGCTTCAACTTCAGATTTAATTGCAGATTTTTCAGGTATTTTTTTTCTTTTATCATCAGCTTTTATGATGTCTTCATCACTAATGGAAAAGCTACTATTTGATATGTACTCTTCTCTGTCTCTAAACAATTCAGAAGAATCACTTTTGGAACTCTCTGAAGATTCTGAAGATACTGATAATCTTTTAGTGTTTTGTTCTTTTGTGATCCAGTCTTGTTCCTTTCTCTTCCCTTCTTCAAAGTCCTAAAACATTCCAATATTAAGTCCTGCACATGTCAACCTTTAACTACTTTGCAATTTCTGAATATATATGTAAATGTGAATTTATTCCATGCATTCTTTCACAATAACCCTCTCACAGCAGGTAGGTCAAAGAGTGCATGTCATAACCTTTTGCAAAGTTACGTTCAAGACTTACTTACATTATTTTATATCAACATATACAAATAAACCTGGCACCAAAACATAGTTAATAAACCAATTTTTAATATTATATAAGCTTTAAGTTCTTAATTTTATAAGAAAATATTTTTAAAAAATCCCAACCCCCTTAGTATCAGAATTGTGATAACAGTTCTCTAAGTCTTTCCCCTTCTCTAATTTATTTACCACATCTCTTTGCAGTATGAAATGTAACATAAATTACTCATTATAATAGAGACAGTATTTAGGCAAAGTCTATTTTTTATATCCTTCAATCTCATTTGTTTAGTGTCATATACTAGAAAATCAGACACACTTGCCATGCCCTCTTGTCATATCCTCTCTTTCACAAATTGCCAAATATTCACTGTTTTATATGATATCATTTATAACTAATAAAAAAGCAGTTTTAATTTATTGAATAATGTATAACATTACGTTGTTTTCAGTGCAGAGTATCATCAATTTTGTCTTCATTTTAAAAGTTTATCTCACTGTATTGAAACTGATTAGCAAAGTGAAAAAATTTAAGTCTCTCTTGTATTGGTTAGAAACTCAGTTAAATTATAATATTGTTTTATTTATATATGTTATTATTCTGTGTTCCTAGTTGCATTATTTAAAGAAATAAAAATGATTTAGTGTACTAGTACCATCAGTATACAAAAGTAGGCTTAAATTTCATCAGTAACAATAGCAAAAAACAAGATGTCAAAGGTAAGTACTATGCTTCTTCGTGTACATTCTTTATTTATTATTATAAAAGTTGAAATAATTGAAACTTATAAGGTTAGATAAGGTAATATAATGAAAAATGATAATCATAAATATTCTTCATAATGTATGCTCATAAGCAGCTCGTACATTATGTCGTTCAATATGGTAACATCAGCTATGTGTTTGCCAAATGATTTAGAACTTGTGTGGTGGGATTATTAGTCAGACATGGTTCAATTGGCAATAAAACAATAAAGTTAAGTATATACAGATGTATACTGTTATGAGCCTTAAGATATTTAGGATAGACCATTGTAGTTTTCTGTTGCAACCTGAAATCATTCTAGAAAGAAAGAAGGGTAATTAAGATATATTTTATATTTTTTTTATGGTGGTAACAAGGTCGGTCAAAACAACTGAGTCTGTAAAGAGGTAGATTAGAAAAATAAAAGATAAAATATAAAGTTTTACTGAAAAAAAATAAATTCTGACATTTAAGAAATTTTAGAGGTTATAAAAATAAAATGTAAACGTTTTCAGACGAGGAAAATATTTTTAACATGAAAATCAGTTTGCACTTAGAGCAATAAATACTCTGATTCCATGTATTCAAAGAGAAATCTTTGGTAAAAATACTTAGTTGAAAAAAGGCTGCTTTTTTGTGTACAAAAGACTTGTAATGTTCAGTAAAGCTATAATTTTCCTTCACTGAAAATGTATTTCTGATAGGTACTTACCTCTTCTCACATAAATGACTATTCTCGATCAGTGCTGCCCTCTATATGAAAACATTTTTTATGCATGCCACAAGCCTTCTATCTACCCTCCATTGGAATTGGATATAAATTGCATCAACCCCCCACCAATAGGATTGCGACATACTCTAATGATGCATGTAACTCCCTGTATTCCATTCTACTGAATTATCACTTTGAGTTTTGGCAGAAGGTGGAAGCACATCGGAAATATACTTTCAGTGTAGGAAAATTATAACTTCCAATACAGTACATTACCTTCTCTCACATAAATAGCTAGAATCCCACATAGAAGAGGTGGAAGGACCAGTGCAACGGAAAGAAAGAAGCATCCGAAGGACACTCTCTAAGATTAAACAGTCACATTCCAAGATCTGATGTGGGGAACCACACCAGTTCTGCTTACCCACATAGTCCTTGAGCAAACTTATGAAGCAATTCTAACATGAGGATAAACCTACAAGCCACCTTGTGGAACACTCCATCTCTGCAGTTTGTGTTGTGTGGCCATGGACTTATAATATACAAGTTAATATGGCTTGACAGTGTGGATTTGAAAGGTTAAAGAATACCTGGTCAGACACCACTCACCACAGAGCGGGATCCAAACAATGAACATAGAATAAAGGGAAAAAGTCTCATCAAAAGGAAAAGAAAACAAAAACTTGCCCAGTTAAAGTCTCACAGAATTCTGATATTCTAGAATGGCTACAGGTGGAAGACAATCACCCAAAGAGGAAGAAAAGTGCAATCCAAAGGAAATAGTGACAGACAAATTTATCATGGGTAGTCGACCTGCCAGAGTGAAGAAGTACCTCCAAAGGACAACGAAAATGAAATGCCAATGAAAAGGTAAGGTATCAAAGTGGGTGAGAAGACACTCGGAACAAAGTATGGGAGGAAGACGATAAAAAGGAAGAAGCCAATCAAATGAAGAACAGAACTCGACTGGTGAAAGAGGAAGGAGAAATAACACAAACTGAGGATGGTTGCCAAGGAAGAAAGAAACAGAAACGGACACCACAGAAGGAAGCCATGCAGGCAATATAACAGTGAGGAGCACATAAAGGACATAGAAAGTCGATTTGGATCAGGACGAAGATAAAGGTGTGAAAGGGAAGGAAGGGAAAATGGCATAACAGAGGAGTTATCCTCATGAGCTGCCAAAGTTTTAGGGAGGAAAAGTATCCAGAGAAAGCAGAAGATATGTAGAAGGATAAAGAGTAAGTGAATCACTGATGGCAAAAAAAAACAGACTACTGACATCCACATGTGAACAGGAGAAGGAAGTAAAACAGAAGGGAAAGGGGAAACAAGGAGCACTGGGAGAGTGGTTCGAACATAGCCAAAGTGAGGCAGTGCAGGACCACATTAATATCCTCATCTGGAAGGGCAGCCCACAGTGGAGTATGACAAATCCAAAAGAAACACATTCACAGGTGAAGTGGAAGAGAGGTAAATACCTGCAGGATCAGAAAAAAAGAAAAGTGTGGGACAGGACTACCCAAAAATTTGAGACCGAGGAGACAGAAGACCCCCCAATCCAAAAGTGAAGAGAAGAAATCTGCATGACCAAGAACAGTGGGTTGATCAGGGGAAAACCCTTAATGCAGAAATCAATTATGGGAAAAATACCATTTGCACTGAGAAACTTCCATGAGGGAAGGGTGCATGAAACAAACCAATAAAGCGGCTAACCATTGGGAGAAGCCAGATCACCTCTCCAGTGCTCAGTGGAAAACCAGGCATGAAGACAAAGAACAGGAAGGTCTGGATGATACAATGGAAAAGGTAACAGAGGAAGAATTTGGAACTAGAGAAGCCACAGAAACCACATCCTAAACAGCCAGAAAAAGAGCTACCATAAGGATTGAACACTGAGATGAAAAAATCATCCAGAGAAGAAGGAGAACAGGAGGATAGACCAGGTTATGGTTAAGAGATGTAGCAAAAGCCTCAATGTGAGGAGTACCCCACTAAATATAAAACCACTGGAAAATAAAAGGTCTGAGAGACCACTCTGTTGGACAAATGTTGTCTGGACAGGAATCCAATTCATGACAAGAGCAAAATCACCTGGAACATGACACACAATGATAGGAATATCAAATATGTGCCCCCCCCCCCCAACGATCCAAGGGATACAGAAGGATGGAGAATGGGTGCTACCTCATGACTGAGATAAGCAACCACTGAAGAAAGGTTGGAATGGATCATTACCAGCCGATATCTGGCGAGATGGAGAAAATGAACCAAAACATGACCTACAGCGAGAAGCTCCAGGACATTGGTAGGATAAGACCTCTCAGATGCAAACCAAAAACCCTGAATCTTTCATTGACTCAACCCACACCCCCCTTTCCCAAAGAAATGTGTCCATGAAATGTGGAAAAATAGGGGAGGAGGAGGAAGCAGGAAATCCACCATTGTGTGAGTCATATCTAACCACCAATACCAAACAATGACAAGTGTAGGAGGAAGGGTAACAAGAGCCAACAAAGGATCCCTACAAAATTCCTCTAGTTGGAAAGAGCCCACATATGAGCCTGACCTAAGGGAATAAGGGCTACCATGGAAGATCACATTCCCAAAAGCAATAGAATTTTGCAAGCTGTAATCGAACTGAAAACCCATTGAACAAAGCCAAAGAGGAGAAGGGCAGGCCTGACAGAGATGTGTGTAGAAAAAGAAAATACTCAAATGGACAAGATATTGGATAGGTTGCTGTAAGGACTTCTCCAAACTTATTAACAGCCCATTATAGCCACCTCCAGGAGCAGCTAATAAGGGTAACAGGTGGACTGCTGTTTGGAAGGGGTGAACAGTAGCCAGTCGAACAATGAAAGAGGAAAGTACAACCCGACAGCATACAAGTGATGAACGATTGCTCTGAACACCCAACAAAAGAAACAGCGCAGAAGCAAGTCCAAAGGGCAGTGTACAAAACAGAGAAATCCCCCCCCCCCGTGGAGAATAAATTGAAGAGTGGGTCACAAGTGATGCAATATAACAGGATATGAAAGTAATCATTCACAACATTCTTCTTTGTCATCGATAAATGGAGAAAAAGCCCACCTAAGGGTGAGAAACGACTCCTAGGCGAAACAGAGTAGATTGAAAAGTAAAATGGGCAGGACAAACCTAGTATAGGCTGCCAGTCTCTGGTCTGGTGTATAGACAACAAACCGCCTGGAATAAAACCCTGGAGAAAGATGATGAACAGGTACAATGGCCTGTAAAAACAGAAAATCTTGTACCTCCTAGGACAGATAAAGGCTGGTGGCAGGATCCCAAGTCATGTGGAAGAAAAAGGGTACCAGGGACAAAGGAAGTGTGGAAAGAAATAGT